CAATTGAATTGAATTCAATTGAATTGAATTAAACTGAACTGAACTCTTCATTCTAGCTATAGTGCAGAACCAAGAAAAGACTGAAGATAGGATGTAACTGGGATGGGAACAATGAACCCTCTGCCTCTTATTCACTATGATCAAAGCATTTGACATTTACTTCCAATAGGAATAGGGTTTTTTCCACATCTTGTCATATTTGCAATTTGTGAAATTCTATTGATCAACCATTCAGGTTTTTTTCAAATGTCTGTACTAAAATTTTAATGCAGTGTACAATATATTTCTCAGTACATGTATATGCAGTTCTCAGTTTAAAAAAAGGCCTAGTTTATGCAATTTTATAAAGATCAGTCTCTAACAATATTTTGTACATTCTGAGTACATGCATCTTTAATTTGTTGGTAAACTGCCTTGTAAAATTCAGAGAAGTGTGAATTTTGAATATTAATTTTTACATTGTTAAAAAAAATTAAAAGTAGATAGGGTCACCTTCAAATATAAATTAAGTGAGCCCCCCCCCTTTTTTTTAAACATGTGTTATGTTTTCCTGATAAATATGGAAGCTACAATTTTAAAAGCTACTTTACCAACATGTTACAGGTTATTCTTCTCACTATACTGGACAATGAGATTGTATTTATATGCAGCCATCAATAGAAGATTTTTAACTGATGTTCTTGCTGTAACTCAAATCAGGCAAGACCCAGCAGCTGTAATTTCATTGCCTGTCAAGTAAGCTTTAAAATAGCCTCTTGGCAGTTTTTGAAATAAGTTTTGATTTATTTTGGTTTATTTCTGCAGTGTTTTATATTTTGGATTGATGTATTTCGGTCAGTTCCTAAATGACAGATGATTATTAATCACATGCTTTCTCGTTTCATTTAAATCGAGATGTGCGTTCAGGATGCATTTCTTTGCCTTTTATTTAAATTTGATTTTATGAACTCCTGCCTACCTAATCTAAATTCTGGAAATATCAGAGGACTTACTAAGGGGGGGAGGGAGGAGGAGAGAACATGACATTTTATTATGTACCAATATTTAGTTATAAATAAATGAGAAGTATTTTTTCTAATTCCATTGATATGTAAGTTTGGGGAGCTGTCTAATACCTATAAATCAGACTGGAGGCCACTGATTTAGAAAAAAATAAGCTTTGGTGATTTATTTATCTATCATATTTCTATCCTGCTTGCTTCTGGTCAAGTCTGTCCGTGGCAATTTGGAGTATAAATTCAAGGCAACAATAAAATCAAAATCACTTCTACATTCTAAAACATCAAATCCAATATAAATCTCTGCAAATAACAACAATATGCCAATTACTATGTAAAAAACCCAACAGTTCTATTCTAAAATATCCAAGCTACAATCTTAACATTATTTTTTTAAAGATGAGAGCTTGGATAAAAAGATAGGAATAATTGTGGAGTGATCATCTTATCCTTAGTTGTTGAGGTGAGAGCTCGGATAAAGCAATAGGAATAACTGTGTCTTGGATTAACCTCATCATTTATGACATTGTCCCTATGCTAAAGCTTTTTGGTTCTGTTTTATTATTTTAGTTGTGTTTTCTTTCAGACTTCTGGGGTATTCTTTTAGACTTCTATACTATTCAGCTTTGTATTATCTGCAAATTTCATAAACATTTCTACCACTATTCATCTAAAAGCACCAATAAAAATACTAAAACATAAAAGGACCAAAGTCTGATCCTTGCTGTAACATTTTCTGAATGTAAGTAGTCCTCAACTTACATCCATTCATTTAGTGACTATTCAAAGTTACAATGGCCCTGAAAAAAGTGGCTTACAATCAGTCCTCACACTTACGACTGTCACAGTAGTATCACCATAGTCATGTGATTAAAATTTGGCTTGGCAATCAGTATGTTTTCACAAATATTGCAGCATCCCAGCATTATGTCATGGTCAATGATGACCTTCTTAGCCAGCTTCCATCCAGCAAAGTGAATGGAGGAAGTCAGATTCACTTAATGACTGCATGATTTGCTTAATAACCAGCAATTTGCTTTAACAAGCCTGATTAAAAAAATGGTTGTAAAATCCGGCACAGATTACCTAACAACCGTCTTGCTTAGCAGCATAAATTCTGCAGCCAATTGTGATTGTAAGGTGAGGACTATATGTATTTGTATAAGAGTCACTTTGCTAGTAAGAGGGCAGCATATAAATTTAATAAATAAATAAACGGCATGGGTCCAGGGAATCTGAGGAGATGCCTTGCTTGTCCCACTCAGAAGATTTCTGAACATAATTATTTAATAGGAAAAAGAGGAAATTGTACATATTTAAAAGGAAGTTACATCTGTTTTTCTAGCTAGTCTTCTGAAAAGGACTCCTAAAGATAAAATGATTTTCAAATATATTTTGCTGATTTTATTTTATTTTATTTATAAAATTTATAGGCCACCCATCTTACTACTTACTCCTACTCCTACTAAAACGCTTGTTGTCATGACCTTTAATTGGCCAAAACTGTGCTCCCCCCGCTCTTCCTCCCTCCCTCCCTCTGTGTATGTGTGTGTTAAAATCTAGTTTTGCCAGTTGGCTTGGGACTCCAATGGAGGCCTTCCTTAGTGGACATGGTTGATAGGATAAAAAGAAGATCTCAGCCTCGTGCAATCCATCTGCTTGATATTTGCTCTTGCGTAACTTTTTTAAAATTTAATTGTTTCTATATTCGTCTTTTTATCATCTGTAAGCCACCCAGAATCACCTTATCACTGAGATGAGCAGCATATAAATGTAATAAATAAACATAATGATGATTGTCATGCTGTCTGGCCCACATTTTACTAATTTGCTAATAAGCACATTTATGAGGCAATGTGAAAGATATACATTACTGTGAAATAATCATCAACGATGAGGCAATCACACAGGGGTGTGATTTTCATCTATGTCAGTGTTTCTCAACCTTGTCAACTTGAAGATGTCTGGACTTCAACTCCCAGAATTCCCTGTTATTTGCAGAATGCTGGCTGGGGAATTCTGGGAGTTGAAGTCCAGACATCTTCAAGTTGGCAAGGTTGAGAAACACTGATCTAGGTAGTTCCTTAATTAGGGTATCATTTTCTGATTGATTCTATGCCTGGTATTAATACATGCTTATATATGAGTGGTGGGTAATGGATAGGATGTGTTCTGGTCTTTTGGTTTCATTCTTAGCTTTTTTTAAATTATCTCTTTTGAATGGTCTGTAAATGTGGTTTATTTCTATGTGCCTACCAATGTCTAATTAGTCTGAATGCCAAGCTTGATGGCATTTTTGAATTTAGCACAGTCTGGGATTCTCATAATTTCCCAGCTGGAACTATGGTTGAGATTGTCGGTGGGTTGTGAGATTTAAGTTTTCATTCTATCTTCTGACAGTTATCTTCTGTCATGTTCTCATCAAATAATAAACAAACAAACAATAAATATATAAATAACTGCTAGATGATGTTCATGGATCTCCTAGGGCATATCTCTCTCTCTTCCATTGTCACAATTTCTCCACTGCTTTCTATTATAGCCTTCCCCACCAACTCCCAAAATTTCCCTTCTTATCAATAGAGGATGTGTTTTTTGTTAGAATTAATATCAATTCTCCTCTTAAATCTGCTGACAGTTCCATTTTGGTTCTAACGTCGTAATCCCAGCGACAATTTGAATCACAGAATTTTTAAAAAATGGATCTTAATGTCAAGACCAACTATTCCAATTCTCATTCAGTGCGGGAATATAATTAAAGCATCCAGACTTTGCTTAAATATTTCCCCCCAAAAGCATCAGTATTTAAAATAGTCTATTCCCCTGGGGGGGAAACCTCATCGTGTTAAAAACTATTTCTAAATGTTCTTTGAAAATATGCTTCCTGAAATCTCCATTTACTGTGTTTGATCTTGTTTAACCTTGTCTCTTTTCATATCTTCTGCACAACAGCACTTCCAATATTTGAACATGCCTATCAAATCTTTTTTAACCTTCTCTTTGGCGAGCTAAACATATCTTTCTCTTTAAAACATTTGTTGATCGGTTGTTAAAACCCTTATTAAAATGTGACTGAGAATTGGACTTCTTCTGCCAAAAACCTTATTTTTTTGCCACATTAACAGAAAATATAATAGAGCATATTCTTGTTCTGTACTGCGCATGGCAGATGGAATGGCCTGCTTCCATCTTTTGAATTCAAATATTTTTTTCATAATACAAACACCCAAAAACTCAAACCTGGTCATAAGCAGCTAGAACCTTCTTCTGCACATCTGTCAGGGTTCCCAATGGTTCCAGATAAGGAAAGTTGTCCTTCATGCAGAGAGCCACTGAAGGGACACTGTCGTTGTTCACAAGCCGGGAAACCAAGGTCAAAATGCATTGCTTCAGACTGGTAATTGGTGGGAGGCCACAAAGTTCTTTCACCGACAGAATGGAATTCTGAGGGGAAAAATATGGGGGGAAAAACAGTTATTCTCACTGCAATCACCATGTGCCTATTGGTCTTCGGATACACTTCAAGGTGCTAGTCGTCACTTATAAAGCCTTTCATGGTATTGGACCTGGGTACTTGAGAGACCGCCTGCTGCCAATTACCTCC